ACAGCTCCGGCTCCGTCACCGAAATCTATCTCCCAAACTTTTCCATTTTCGGCACGATCCCCGAATCTCTTTGCAGTGGCATCAAGAATCTCTCTTACCTTGATTTATCATATAACAATTTCTCAGGCCCATTTCCTACCACTCTCTACACTTGCACAAAGCTCGGTTACCTCGATTTGTCTCAGAATTTGTTCGTTGGCGAGTTGCCTTCGGATATAAATGGGTTATCGTCGAGTCTCACTGATTTGATCCTCTCGGCAAATAATTTCTCGGGTCAGATTCCTACCTCCATAGGCGAACTGAAATCAATTCAGAGCCTGTATCTGGACGATAATCTCTTTAACGGGTCGATTCCTGTAGAGCTTGCACACTTGTCCGATCTTCAAACTCTTGCGTTGGCTTATAACAATTTTGCTCCCCAGAGAATTCCTGCAGAGTTTGGGAATTTGACTGGGCTTTCATTCTTGTGGATGGCCAGCATGGATCTTGTAGGTGAGATTCCGGGCTCTTTTGAGAGATTGATAGAGTTGCAGCAGCTCGATCTCTCGATGAATTCGTTAACTGGAAACATTCCAAATTTTATCTGGAACCTTCGAAATCTTCAGTTTGTTTATCTGTATAAGAACAACTTCACGGGAGAAATCAATGGGACAGTTTCAGCACTGGGACTGGAGAGGATCGATGTATCGATGAACCAGCATTTTATCAGTTCTTTTAATGTACTACAATCAATTCTCCGGCGAAATTCCTTCAAGTATCGGATTGCTCCCTTCTCTTTCTGATCTCAGGCTATACAGTAATAAGCTCACAGGAGTCTTGCCTCCAGAGCTCGGAAAGCACTGCCCATTATGGAATCTCGAAATAGACGATAATTTGCTCTCTGGTGAGCTACCAGAGGACTTATGCGCCAGAAATGCACTTGCGTCGATTATAGTATTCGACAATAATTTTACAGGTAAAATCCCTGAATCTTTGGGTGGTTGCATTGCGCTTGACAATCTGCAACTTCAGAGGAATAGATTTTACGGCGATTTTCCACCTGGAATCTGGTCGGCAGCGAACCTGTCAACCGTGATGCTGAGTGATAACAACTTCTCAGGCACAATTCCTGATAAATTGCCGTGGAATCTGACACGGTTAGAGATCCAGAACAATAGATTCTCTGGAAAGATTCCATCGGCAGGAGAGAATATTTTGGTCTTTCTTGCAGGAAACAATTTGTTCTCGGGTGAGATTCCAGCGATCTTGACAGGAATCTCCCAGCTGCAGAGTTTGCAACTAGGAAGAAACATGATTTCAGGTTCAATTCCGGATGAAATCTCTGTACTGAAATTTCTGACGGAGTTGAATTTAAGCAATAATCAGTTGATCGGAGAGATTCCTGCATCTATCGGATCTTTGCCTGTGCTCACTACCTTAGACCTTTCGAAAAATCAGTTGACAGGCAACATACCTGTCAATATCGGCAATCTCAGGCTCAATTTCCTCAATTTATCATCAAACCAGCTCTCGGGCCAGGTCCCATTCGCGTTTCAGAATCAAGCTTACGACAAAAGTTTTCTGTCTAATCCTTCTCTTTGCTCTTCGGACTCAGCATTGAGCCTCAGCAGATGTGATCATCAATCCAAAACTTCGAACACGATATCCCCAGGAGTCAGAACCATGATCATAGTTCTCGCCTTGCTCTTATTCTTGATTGTTTCAGGCTTTACATTTTTCGTTATTAAAGACTACAAGAGCAGAAAAGATGAACAAAATCTTGCATCCTGGAAACTGACTTCCTTTCACACATTGGACTTCAACGAATCCAACATTGTAAAGGCCCTTACCGATGAGAACCTGATCGGAGCTGGCGGGTCTGGCGAGGTCTACAAAGTCGCCATCGGAAACAGGTCAGGCGAAGTAGTAGCAGTCAAGAAAATAAGGAGCAAAACCAAGATGGACTCCAAACTAGAGCGGGAGTTCGTGTCTGAAGTTCAAATTCTGGGCTCAATTCGGCACACCAACATAGTCAAACTCTGGTGCTGCATTTCAAGCAACGATTCGAAGTTGTTAGTCTACGAACACATGAAGAACGGGAGTCTGTACAAGTGGCTTCACGAGAAGAGGAAGGCGATGGGGCCGCCAGCCTTAGACTGGCCGAGGAGGCTGGGGATCGCCATCGGAGCTGCACGAGGGTTGTGCTACATGCATCATGATTGCTCGCCGTCGATTGTGCACAGAGATGTGAAGTCGAGTAATATACTGTTGGATTCGGAGTTCAGAGCTAAGGTTGCTGATTTTGGGCTGGCGAGGATTCTGGTTAAGGCCGGGGAGCCTTGCTCCGTCACGGCTGTTGCTGGTTCTTTCGGATATATGGCTCCAGGTGAGCATTTATCTCATATTTTACTAATAGTGAAATTTGATTCTCTGCTCTAAAATTTTCTATCCAAATTCTATTACTATTCTACTATTTTCTTAAAATGAAAACTGTTGTTCTTGTATCAGATGTTATCATCATATATATCATAAAATGATAACTTTTGTATAATAACAATTTTGAAACTACTTGGATATAAAAGATAATTTTTGCTAATATCCAATGCTATTATGAGACTACTATAACTATTATGCTACCATCACTTTTATAATTAGCCAGTTTTAACGGTTTTTTTGCGGCGTGCAGAATGTGCATACGCTGTAAAAGTGAACGAGAAAATGGACGTGTACAGCTTCGGCGTGGTACTTCTAGAGCTGACAACAGGAAGAGAAGCCAACGAGGGAGACGAGCAAGGAGGCCTTGCAGGCTGGGCATGGCACCATTTTCTCACAGGCAAAAATGCTACCGATGCAATTGATGAGACAATCAAAGATCCGAGTAATTTGGACGAGATAGTCAAGGTTCTCAAATTGGGGCTCGTATGCACGGGCACATTACCGTCGACCAGACCTACGATGAAGGAGGCCGTAGAAATCTTGTTGCGGTGCAACCGAACAAGTTGGAATGGCAGTAAACCTCAAGCCGAGCATGATATCGCTCCTCTACTGTGTAGCGTTAGAGGCAGTAGGCATAAAAGTGATTCGAGTACAGACGACGATCTTGATGATTGTAATGTATGAATCAATTAAAAATGAATCCGAGTCCAAGGTTTTCTTGCATGTATTGCGTTCTAGAGGGAGGGTTGTAAAACTCATTCCGAAGGATTGTATTTTAGACAAAAGCATGAAATAATTGCTGCTGCGTGCAATACATGGGTTGTTGATAGTAGAATTAACCTCTGTGCCTTCTCTGATGAGCATGAACCGAGGAGAGCAATGAAACTGGTGCAACTTTTGTTGACTGATATAGATAGGCATTGCAGCAATGACCAGACTTGCCCCTTCACCACAATCCAACTGCAATAATTTCATTTCAATCAAATTCCACAGACAACCGCACACCAGAATGAACCCCTTTAGTATAAACGATAAAATAGAATCACATTAAATTCTCCTGGTTTTATTCTCAAATTGTCAGGAGAAAATATAAGAGCCCCGAAAGAAAGGAAAGAAAAAAAAAAGAGAGAAGGGAGGAAAAAAATTACATAAACAAAAGTTCCAACTGTTAAGCCCGCTCGCAGGGCTCACTCGACAGAGAGCTCGCTATCCAACCCCGCAATTTATACATTTTGTGACCCCAAGACTGATGATTTCCTTCTCAATCTGCTTCCATTATACTGGCTGCTACCTCGCAGGTATTAAATTAAGCATATCTTCTGAAAAATGTAAGAAGGTTACAGGAAACGAACAAAACATAGAAAATTTCCCTAACTTAGGATTCATCAATGCCGAGATATTGAGAGTGAGAGGCTGCAAGGAGAGCTGCACCAATGCCAGAGCCATCGTTTGCGTGGGTTATTATGACATGGCTTGATACCTCATCTCCGAGCATCTCAGAAAGGGTGCTCTCCAAGCATTTGCTGAAGATGGTGTAGTGCTCAAATAGCCCTCCATCCATAGCGACCACTGTCCTCTGCTTGCCTGCAACAGTGTCCCGGCCTTGTTTCTTTAAGATACCGACAACTCCGGCAGCAGCAAGACGGGCCCCACGCTTGGCAACTATGTCACATATGTCTACAATAGTTTTCCTCATCTTCAGAGAGGTATTGGTGATCTGAATTTTTTTAAGAAACCAATGAGGATCTCAAAGATGACAATGGTGGAACGTGAGTGTAAAATCTTTGTTATAAACAATGGAAGCATTGGGTAAAATGAAAGGAAAACGCACCCCGAATACATCCCTCAATTTGTTAGCAACGACTCTCAGGTCAGATGATGAGTCATGATGCATGGCCGACATGTCTGGAGTCCTGCACAATATCATGTGAAAACGCATAATTAGAAGGCTTAAAATCAATTAATGGCATATCAGTTGCATGGAAAATAAATTTCCAAGAAATTTTGCATTTGAAACAGATAAAAGAAGGCTGCAATAAAAAAGAATAGCCTATTCTCAACATTGGACAACGTGCTACCAGGACTACATTAGACAACCAGTATTCACCCTATTAGTAACATGGACTCCATGCCTCCAAACTAAGCTACACAGATTAGTCCATGTTTCACTATCAGATCAATTTGAGGAACTAAAGTCTGATGTACACAACTCATCCAGTACAATGATGTAAGGGGCTCGTGCGTACTTTTTCCTATCTCTGACCAAGTTCAAATCCTGATTAACATGTTTTATACCAATTAACTAGGTACATGACAAAACATTAAAATAAGAGGTTTTAATATAATCCATAATACAAAGCCTATTTGCATATAACCCTCAAAATTTTCTTATTCTAGAATAACCATAAAAGCATTTTTAGCTATATAAGAAAAACCAACTCAGTATAACCGATAAAAGAAAAACAATATCCGTGGAATACGCCTGTGACATTATGTCAGATCAACTTTTAAAGTTCTAAATTCCCCTTTCTTCTTCAACACCTACCTTTCTCCTCTAACTCATTCACGGAATTGATATACAAAATCGCTTTGAATAGACATCTATCTCATTCCCCCTCTCTACTTCCCAAACAGTTTTCTGTTCTTTACACTCTTCTCCAAACCCATTTTCCCCATCCTTCATCTCCATAACCTACTCTTTTCCCGATTCATTTTTCATTACATAACCCTAAAAACTGTTATCTGCTCCCAAGAATCAATTCAATTTATGGAGCCCATTTGAGGGTTTAATTGATATACCTTAGAAGAATTATTTACGTCTCAGCTTCGACATAAAATTGGAGTAGTGGAGAGAAATGTGATAAGGCATATATGTCTAATGTCTTTAAGCCCTTCAATGTGAAAATTAACAAAAAAATGACAGAAAGAAGTTCTATTGGAATACCTTAAACAACAATCAATTATATGCATCATTTGATCCATTTCAAAGTGAAATTATCTTGAAGGGTTAATCAACGTTTAAACTCAGCATCAGCCATGGTTCAATTTCTCCTTTATTAGTATCAATATTGAAACTTTCAACGATAATAATGATTTTTTTTCAGAATGACAGGTACATGAAAATTCTGCTTATCACAAGCTTCTAGTCAAGTGATTTTTTTTCTACTTTTCTCCAATGTAACATAATAAAATCAAATTTTGGTAATTCAAACCTCAGATCTTGGATTTCTCCTAAATTACTCATTACTGGACAGTATCGGTCTGTATAATACTCTTTGTTAGCCCTTCAATGTGAAAATAAACACACAAATGACTGAATGAAGTTCTGTTGAAATATCTGAAGGACTTATGAATTATATGCATCATTTCAAAATAAGATTATCTTTAAGAGTTACGAAAATGACCATAAATTAATCAAGGTTTAAACTCAGAATCGGCCATGGTTCAATTTCTCCTTTATTGGTATCAATATTGAGAATTTCAACGACATTGATGATTTTTTCATAATTACAGGTGGATGGAAATTCTTCTAATCGCAAGCTTCTTGTCAAGTGATTTATTTTTCTATTCTTCTTCAATATAACATAATAAAATCAAATTTTGGTACTTCAAACCTCAGATCTTTGATTTATCCTAAAGTACTCATTATTGGACAATATGGGTCTGTATAATCTTCATTAGCCAGCACTGAAGGTCTGGATGAGATGAGCATGCTCAAGAGTCACTGTGATACAAACAATATGAATTAGTATGGACCATACTCCAAAAACTTAGACAAAATGAACTAAACTAGGTAGGCTAAAGTTTGGAACCTTCTTAAGATTGACTATATAGATTATTGGTCCATAATGTCAACCTAAATCTTTTGTAAATTGTTACCTAACATGCAAATAGCACTAGGTTCTAGGAGGTGCTACGTTCAAAATTATTACTATTGACAACTTAAATATATTAATATACCCCACGTAGTTTTGCATTTCCAAGCAAATTTGTCTTTCAGCATTACCTTCAGATGTAACCTGAAGGTCCACAGTAGACACACTATTAAGCTGCTTAATATACAATGCTGGCTCACAAGAGCAACGAGCCATCACATTAACATTTGGATGACGTGGTTGACTGATGAATTTACAAAGATTATGGGAGTCAGATCACAACCAATAGCATATTTGGCAAATGGTCAAAGTGTCTTATAAGCCTCTTTTGTGGCTTATAAGCCACTTTGACATGTTAGGCAATTGGCTAATTTTGGCCTATAAGCCACCATAAAATAAGCTGGAGTACCCTGGCTTATTTTATGGAGGCTTATTCGCCGCAAGGTTTGACCATGTAAAAGATCAATATACTCATCATTTCAGAAAATTTCAAAGCCCACATATCTCTCTCCAACCCCATTAAATGTTTTTTGGTCATTTTGACAAGAATGGTGGCTTATGAGCCACACATTTTCTAAACATTCTACTAAGGAAATGAATTATAATACATCAAATTTACCAAACAATTTGGATTATAATCCACTTGGCTTGTAATCTATTTGTGGATCATAGTCCAAAGTTGCCAAACATGCTCCAGGATAACTACGACAAGGGATTAATGAAGTCCAATTCAATGCCTTCATCAATTTCACAGAGGAACAATTATTAGATGGATTTATAGTTGTAATGGATGATCAAGTAACTGAAATCCCCAAAACGATCACCTGTAACTCACTGCCTAAACATGAAATAATATCTGGTGTTCATGCTAACACAGTCTCCAAGGTATATAGGAGTTGGACTGCAACCAATATAACTACTTCAATAGATTCAAATGAATTCCATTTCAATGGAAATTTGCCCGTGCAAGTTGCATGCCTTCATGAATTTCACAAAGCCTAATTACCGGACGGATTTCTAGGTGTCTGATAATCAAGATTCAGGTAATTCCTACAATGATTATTTTTACCTCACTGCCTAAGCATAAAAATAAGGGGATTATCATGTTCTTCCCACTCCAAGAAGATCAAAACAAATGGATTCCTTAATTTTTGGTGTGTAGTACATGTAGGACCATTGGTGAAAATTGCAGGCCTTTTTTTCTTATAAAACTCTACTTGGTCAAAGTAAAAACCTACCTACATTTGGGAAACAAAAGAAATTGCTAGCCTTCATAGTTCAGTCCACTCAACTGTGCCTTGTAAAAGAAAATATATAAGAACAGCAAGCAGAAAGCATTGCTCTTCAATGAAAAGTAATTGCGAACAAGTTTGAAGCACACCTTAATGTAAATGGAACTTGAAGTTTTGAAGGAACATTATCGCCAAAAAAGGAAGCTTCTTCAGCCAACCTCCAGAGAACTCTTCTTACAATGTCTCCCAAATACATACCAGAAATTAATTTCTCAAAGATCTAGAGTCCAGAAAGTAAAACATGAAGTTTTAGTACTCAGAACAATCAGCAATTGTCAAGCTGGTAAAGAGATAGGATAGAACATCACTTGTTCACCAGGATTCAAACTTTCAACATCCAGTGTGTGATCATACTCTGTCATTGGCAGATGAGATGACCGGAAATTTCCCCACTCCATGTTGATAACCTAAAGATGACAAATTGTTTTAATTAAAACATAAATTGTTGATGAACTAAATAGCAAGGTACAGTCAAGAAATTGGCTTATAGGGATTGCACTATGTCATTGGTCAAATTAGATGATAATGAAAACCTGGAATTGATCTAGAGCATGCTCTATCACATCAGTTCAACTCATATTATAGAAAAAAAGAAATCCTACAGAAGCTACAAGTGCTGAATTCATACTTTGCAAAGTTTGATTCAATTGAGATTATGCAGGCTTATACACGAAAGATCATTTTTTGGCTCTCTCCTCAGCCCTATGTCTCTTATCCCTAAGAGGTCTTCCTCCACTAGAGTTCGAAGAAAAAGAATGATTTTTTTACTCGCCTTTTTGTTTTTCCCTCATAAAAAAACTAAATATGTATGATCAAAAAATTCTGTAAATCCGATCAAAAAATTCTGTAAATCCCTTTGCTTCCTTCGCTCATAGAGATTGCACTATGTTATTGGTCAAATTAGATGATAATGAAAACCTGGAATTGATCTAGATCGTGTTCTATCACATCAGTTCAATTCATATTATAGAAGAAAAGATCAAACAGTCACTAGAAGAATTCTGACCATCTCTCCTGATTTAGGTAGGAGGCCATGCCACTTGGGGATTGCTTGTGCCCGCTCTACGTATGCTGCATTTGTACCGGTACCTAATATAACCGCAATAACAACATCATTGTCATTGTACCTGCCTCCAGCCAGTGTACCTATTGTATCATTCACCTGCAGCAACACAATTGCCTTCATGTCATATACACTCACCACAAAATACTGAATACAAATGTCATTTGCATTTTAAGTAGCTAATAACAGACAAGACGTGGAAGTACTCACCAATGCTGCGACACGCATATCAAGACCTTGTCTTTCCATTGCTTTAGTCAATTCAGCAACGACATCTTCTCCTACCTAATTTAGCAGAAGAACCAGTTTATTAGGTACTAATTCAAATTCAGTTGAAACCATCAAACCATGTGGTCAAGTGTAACGGCTTGAAACAGTTACAGTCTACAAGAAGGTTTAACACACCATCAGGTTTGCCACAGTCGCACACTGGATCACATGGACTACATTGCAAAAGAATATAATAATGTCCCATAAACTGTGAGGTAAGAAAGAAAAGTATAATAAAACAACGACTAATTGGCACTTACATACTTTACAGTTTCCCCAACTTTGCACTTATACAACAACACTTGTTTTTGGCAGCACTTATATACCCCAAAGTTTTCTAAATTCGCACTTAATACCTTCTATTACGCAAAACTGAGAATATTCCCTGGAAAACGTCCATGGAAATCTCACATGCTAATTTTAGAACTTCTTTAACCCTAAGGTTCTGTTAAATTTAGTGCTAAATCTACCTTAACTTTATTTTAAACCTATCCTGAATTTATTTCAAAATAGAATTAGGATAAGTTTAATAGTAAATTTAATAAAAACTAAGGGTTAAAAAGTTGTAAAATTAGCATGTCATTTTCACATGAGAATTTTTTAGAGATATTTTTACACTTGCATAACATAAGGTCCTAAAATAAAATTTTGAAACTTCAGGGTACACAAGTGCTGCCAAAAAACAAGGGTATATACATGCAAAGTAGGGAAAACTATAAGGTATGTAAGTGCTAATTAGCCTAAAATAATATTATTCATATCACATTATCAGGTGAAGTAACTATAAAGTGGAGGGTTTCCCCATCACTGTAAAATTAGATGTAAACGTATAATATCTCTGGCATATACTTATCCAAAAAGGCTAATTACTGACCCCAAACTTCATCAGCTAAAAATAAAATGATAGCTTCAAAACTAAAACAGAAAATAATAATAATAATAAACCAACCATGACATCAACAGCTAATATCAATAAGATTTTAGATATTATAAATTAAAATAGAACAAGTTCAGATATTAACCGTGCCATCAATGGAAAATCCTTTTGTCCACTTAATAAGAGTGCCTGAGCAAATTGAAGTCTGCTTCACCGGGAAAGAGAATGTAAAGCCAAGTTCTCTTTGCCTTCCCACGGAAAGTTGATAGTCATCACCTTCAGAAGCAACGAACTTTGCTAATGCCGAAGCGATGAAGTCAAACAGTTCCTGGAAGCACAAATGATAAGCAATTTGAAATAACATGACAGTTGCAACTAGCGGGACATAAAAAGCATAATGCATCTGGCACTTACATGAGAGCTTCCAACCATCAGATGTGGTGGAATCGAGACTTCTTCAGCTTCTTGTTTAACCACACGTCCTTCCTTCCCACCGAGCTGTACACGGAGACAACGGAAGTTGGTTCCTCCCAGATCCAATGCATAAAACAATCCCTTCTCGTCCCTACAAGTAACAAACTCTGACAGTCAAATCCCAATAGTTTGTACCTCAATCTTTGGTGCAAAGATGATGAATTGAACTATTAAACAGATGCATCTCATGATATTTGAGGCGGAATGGCACCAGACATCCAGAATCATCCTAGACAAGCCAAGTGGACTTATGCAAACAGAAGGCTCTGTAACTTCAATATCAACAGGGGACTATATTGTTTACAGTGCAGGCTAGAAGTTCCATAGTGGTGTTCCATTACCTTTTCACACAACTATTCATAAGCTTTTTCTTGACTAGTTCCATGATAAAGAAGGAACGCTATAGAATTTCATCTGAAATCACTCTCTCGACCTTTCAAATGAAACTTATGTTACAGAACACTGGTTCCAGGTATCAAGCCTGCTTCATGGTATTATAACCTCCCTTAACTTTACAAAGAGTATGAAGAGACAAAAAAAAAGCTATATGCCTGATGTAGACTACTCAGTAACTCGAGTGAATTATAGCTATAGCTCATTCATATGGTCAAAAAGTTAGCTGGATATAGATCCTTAATAAGTTCTATTTTTCTTCCCTAGTCCACCAAAGTAATTATATAGTGACTAGACTCTAGTAACTAACAGTAATAACATCAATTGTGTGATCCATATCATATGACAGACTATCCCAAGCATTATTATTCAACATGGTGTTTGGCTGGATCCAAATAGCTTTGTCTTCGCCAGGGACCAAATCATCAGGCAATATGAAATTCAAAACCTCATTCTGTCACCTTCAAAGATTAAACCATCTTAAAGAGTATCCATTTCTTGCATAAGTATTTTAACCCATGGAGATTTAATCTTCTGAATTTTCCAACATGAAGAATTTTGATATTGTTGGAAAGAATCCTAATAAGTCCTAAATATCAAAAATAAAAACTAAATTAACTTAACCGCAAAAAAAATTCTTCCACTGAGTTGCTGAAAAAGATTTCAAAATGTATCTAAAAAATAAAAATAGTGCTATACATTAGAAGGTATCCCTTGGCTTATTATTTAATACAATTTTCATTTCATGTCACCTATGTGGTTGTTTCTTTCAGGAATTGTGACTTTTTGAATGACTTTACCCACGAATACCTTGGAATCTAAACAGTTATAGCTGTTGGCTTTCAGTTATCCTAAATATGGAGTTGTATTTCTCTGCTAGATTTTAATGACAAGTTTATATTATCAGGGACTGATCATAATATCAGCTTGAACAAAAAACATAGGATTTAAAATAAATGAGATAGAACCCACTGAGGAAAAACAAACGGAAAAAAAAAGTTATGGCAAGAATCTAAGCGCACTTTTACATAACACAGAAAAAAAGATAATATATAGGGTATAGTTTCCCAGTAATATGATGAATCACCACCCAATCATTAACCTAAAAGATACAAAAGCAAAAGTCATAAACTTTCATAAATTTCCAAAAAACAACCACAACAACAAAATCAAATCAAAATCAAACGAGGTACTTAATCCCATATCAATTTTATAGCCAAAAACCACAGAAATCAATCCAAGATCACATCAATGATCTACAGCGTTCTTTATACGGCAATTAACTTCTTTTTATTATAAAATAAAAAAGGCACTTCGTCGCAATTCAAGATGCATTTAACAAAAGAAACTCAGATAAGAGAATATTTCTTATCCTAATTCGAAATCAGAAAATAAACCATTAGAAGTGCCGAAATCGAGAAAGATAACAAAAGATCGTATTTTTAATGAATCAAAAACAAGAAACATTGACACTTCATCCAAGATCATAAAGTTAAAAAATCTATAGCTGAAAAAACGCAGAAATCAATCCAAATCCAGGCCAACGATCTACTACGGCGTTCATCTAATATGCATTTACTAAAAAGAAACACAGCTAAGATCGAATCTTCCAATTCCTTCGAAATCCTAAAACTAATAAAATCACTAAAAATACAGAAATAAAGAAAGATCTCAAAACAAGAACGTTAGATCCAAAGAATCAGAGCACTCACCCAGTGGGGAGATTGTCGACGTAGCTGATGAGCATCTTGAGCTTGCTCCCGCCCTCCGACGCAAGTCCAGCGTGCATCTCGACGGTCATCGCGTCGGCGACGTGCCTCAGCTTTCCGATCGGAGTCGCGCACTTCTCCTCGAGCTCCTTCAAGATCGCCGCCGCCCTCGCCCACCGCCCTGCCGTCGCCGCGCAAACCACCGCCGCTCCCACCGCCACCTTCCCCATCAATCTCAATAAAAAAAACCCCCCTTAGGAACTCACAGATCTCTCAAGATTCAATGAGAAAACGATCAAAAGAGAGAAATCGGGGGATCTCGGAGACTCTGGCTCTCGAAATTTGTGAAGGATGGAGGACGATTTAAACGAAAGAGAAATTTACGGAGGATTGGAGAATGAGAGCACAGATTTCGGAATTTCCCCTTTTTCATGCGTTTTTATTTTCCTTGTTTTTTTAATTAATTGTTGATAAAGTCACTCTGTTTTATATGATAGATACACGCCCCCTTGACGCAATGAATGATTAATGGAATGTCAATGATGGAGGTGGGACGTAAGTGCGGGTTTATATAATGGTTGCGTACAGACGCATGTTACTCTGTTGATAATGATATTAGTTGTTACTTGTTATCCGGTATTTTATCCAGAGTAATTAATTTTTAGTATAAATTCATATCCACAATTAACCGTAAAAACAGACAGTGATGACCGTAAAGAGATTCGTTAAAATAACTAACTATAGTTACGAGACATAAATGATCTTTCGAATTTAATGCAATATTGTAAACAATTCACAAATTGTAAACGGTTTTTCTATAGAGTACCATGGGTACTCTATAAGAGATGAGAGAGATAGAGAGAAATAATTATGCACAGAAATTAATGCAAATCAGGGGGGCCTATGAGCTATTCATTTCTCACCATCTCTCTCCTCTTTTATAGAGTGCCTATGAGCACTCTATAGAAAAACCGAATTGTAAATAAATGTATACTGTCAGACTCTGATGTTTACAATACAATTTTAGATTTTAGTGTGTTGAACTTTTTTTCGTCAACAATCCTTTTAACCTTTTATTGTAATCGTTATATAAAAAGGCTTATCATTTTATTTTTATCAAATGTAAACATATGAGAGTTTTTGTTTAATTTAAATAGAAAATGATGCGGCTAATCTCATCTAAATGAATTGACTGAAGCAATAAAAGAACCTTTTATTCACTGGCCTCAAAAAATTTTCAACTGCATCACTATATCTAATAAAATCTCCTTGTTATTTGATATGCCAATTTTTCTCATATATCATTATCATCTCCTCAAATATTTATGTTTAATTATCACTTGTATACTCGAAGGATAACTTTTTGGAATGCTTCATTTTTTTTCATCTGATATTTCAGATATGATATAATTTTTATATAGTAATTAGACTTTATCCAACAAAATCTTGACATTCCTCTTCAAAACTAGCTTAGTGCGATAGTAATCTTCATATATTAGCCATAACAGAATTAATCCGAACATTATCCAAAGAAGATCTTACACGAATTCGACCTAAAGTTGTTTGGTAAAGAACGGTGGTGTGGGGTAAATCCGGAACTGGATGAGTACAAATATGCCGATAGGCAATTCCAGCCCCCGGAGATGCAAACCCCTCCACAGCTTGACACGTAGGAAAACAAATAGACTATTCATTGCCACATGTCAGTCTCTAGTGTGGTCATTGGAGGAGAAAGTATCTAGTTAGTTCTCATCTGAAGGAGAGAAAGAAACTGATAAAGTTCTCTAGCTAAGTATGCAGAAATTGCATACTTTTCGTTAGTAGGCGATGTGCCTATTTATACCGAGCTGACGAGGGTACTTGTATAACTTCGACAGAGTCCAAGCAGTAAGCTTATTCGGCCGATACTTTACAGAGGTCAGCTGTGGATGGTACGAGTCATCTTTGTGATTAATGCGATGACGACATGGGAAGTAAGGTTCTGACAATGTTCGATGAGTCATTAAGACTTTCAGGGTGGATGTAATGATGATTCTGACTGTGCATTTAATGTGATGGTGATTGGCTATCGGTGAGGGGTTAGAGAGTGACCATCTTTCATCTCGGCTTTGTGAGAAGGTCGACAAAGGATGCATTTCGTTTCAACCCTCGAGGGAGACGAGGATGGATACCTTTTTGTCTTGATCCTGCGAGAGGGTTGATAAATGATGTCTTTCGTCTCGACTCTCAAGAGAGACGAGAATGTGTGTCTTTCGTCTCAGCGTTCGACGGAGGTGAGAAGTCAATGTGTGTGGATCAAGTCTATGTGTAGACTGTGTAGTCTGTTTAAGACGCGTGTCAGCCAGTTGAATGTGATTAATGTTTACTTATTTCTATGGACAACGATGCACAAATTATACATCTTTCTTACTTGAAGGGCTTCCTCCGTTGCCTACTTCTGGAATTGTAGGTTATTTAACTTTCTCGCTTCTTTTCTATGTTTTGTTGCATCTTTAAAAATAACAGGAGTTTTCGTTGTAAAGCGTACGATGTTCAAGAAAAAGAAAACAAAAGATACCTTTTTGTCAGAGATGTCTTGTATGATATCCTCCGAAGAGCAGGGATCCCATCAAAGAAGGAAGCGCCGGTCAACTTCCTCACCCCTCCTGGAGAGGCTAGATCTACTTTAAGGCCGGCAGACGTCCTTGTCTACAGTTGGAGCGGGGGGAAGCACGCTTGTGTTGATCTCACGGGGGTGTCTCCATTGGTGGGGTTTGGTAATGGAGTGTTCACTGTTGGGCATGCAGCGGATAGAGCGGCCGAGGCGAATGTGGGCAAACATGATCAAGCTTGCAAGGACAACCAACACAGTTTCATCCCGTTCGCGTTCGATACGTTTGGTTTCCTTGCAGCTGATGCGGTGGAATTCCTCAGGAGGGTACAAAAATTTATGAACAAGAATGTGGCGACGGCGGGATCAGCTGAGTATGTGTTTCGTAGGCTGGGTTTTGCAATACAGAAAGGATTAGCGGTGTAGCTTGTTGCCCGCTTGTCATCATCACACGCGTAATATATATATAAATATATATAATTTTTGTTTAAAGATAGAAAATATAAATTTTCATGACCTTATGATGATTTTATTGCTGTCACTTTTAAAGAATACATTATTCAAAGAAAACAAAATAGTACTGTCATTTTTAGAATAATCAATGGGGTTCATATAGGGCTGTCCATCCGGGCCGGCCCGGCCCGGCCCGGCCCGGAAAACCGGGCCCGGGCCGGGCATTTAAAGATAGAAAATATAAATTTTCATGACCTTATGATGATTTTATTGCTGTCACTTTTAAAGAATACATTATTCAAAGAAAACAAAATAGTACTGTCATTTTTAGAATAATCAATGGGGTTCATATAGGGCTGTCCATCCGGGCCGGCCCGGCCCGGCCCGGCCCGGAAAACCGAGCGGGCCGGACACCGGGCCGGCCCGGTTTGTTTTTTTTTTAATTTTATTTTTTTTAATTTTTTTAAATTTTAACAAAACCATAAATTATAAATTATTATAAAAAATGTCATAAATTTTATTAATAACTTGAAATGAAATGACATAAATTACAAGTACAAAAAATGATAAAAATAACTTCTTTATTAATAATCGGTAAATCCTTTACAAGTATAAGTTTATTTCGAAATTCGTCGCATCACAATAGATGAGTACATCCCAACTAGGTTGGCACCTACTCACCCATATCACTATCATTTGCAACTTTTTTCGAAATAATTTAATTCAAATTTAAAGCTAAGAAATAAAAATTACAATTTTATGAATATTATCTAATCATTATATCTATCTGCTAGTCCCAACTCTTCAAATTTATCTTCAATCATAGCAATCCGTTCGATGCCTTGTGTTCGCTTCTCGTATCTCCACCAATCCTGTAAGCACATCACCGCTTGTACAGTATACGGATCTAAGCATGTCCTGTGGTCGTCGATCAAACGTCCTGCTGTGCTGAAAGCGGATTCCGAGGCTACAGTCGAAACCTGCACTGATAGTAAGTCACGAACCATGGTGGAAAGTATAGGATATGAAACTGATCCATATACTTTCCACCATTGCAAAATATCTAAAGCATTTCCTTGACATCTAACTAAAGAAGCAGAAAAATATTCATCTATTTCAGAAACATCTAATCCTGATGAAGTTCCAGATCCACCAGTTAGTTCAGCTACCATTGCATACCTATCAAAACTTACACTTTTACCTCGACCTGTGCTCGAAGCTGAAGGTGCCGAAGCTGAAGACTGTTGTGTAGCTACACCATATCTAGCTGCATACTCATCATATAAGGTTTGAAAATAATTTCTAATAGCTAAATAATGAGTAGTAGCAGTAAGGGTGGATCCATCATCTAAGTCTATAATCTGTCCACCATACAATGATTGTAACAAACTTCGAAGGCCAATTTCCTTCAAGCATGGATCAATAAGAACACCAATACCAAAAATATGAGGAATAGGCCTAAAATACTTATTAAATTTACTCTCCATTTCAAAAATTATACTTCCAAAAATATCATCCATACGATATTTTGTAAAATTTTTTTGAATATTTAAAATTTGTAAAGCAGCTAAAGTAATAGTTGGATAATAACAACCAGATAATAACATAGTAGCATCATAAAAAACTTGTAACATCTCATTTAATTTACATATAACTGTCCATTCATCTTCAGTTATTCCATAAGCACTACCAGAGCTAGAACTAGAAGCATAAAAATTTATAAAATCATTTATAATTTCTTTATATTCTATTGCTACAGATAACATTGCATAGGTGGAATTCCACCTATGGTCAACATCTTTTGGAATTAGTCTAGGCTTATAATTTTTTCTTTTACAACATTGTTTCCATCTTTTAATTCTCATTTCAGAAGCATTATGCATATTAGTAACTGTTCTAACTTTTTCTATCATGGGTTTAATTTCAGAAAATGCACTTTGAACAATTAAATTTAAAATATGACAGATACATCTAACATGAAAAAGCTCACCATGACATGGCAATGACAAAGTTATTTTCAGAAAATCAACAGCTACATTATTATTACTTGCATTATCTAGTGAAAGAGTAAATATTCTTTGATCAATTTCTAGTTTCATAAGTTCTTCAACAATTAAATTTGCAACATTAATACCAGTGT